ACTTTGAAGGGAATTTATACTAAGAGGATCCTTGCACGACTTTATTTCCCTTTCATGGCAATAGATCTGATAGATGGTCATGAACAAGGTCCTGGTGGTGGGGAGCAGCTGGTGCCTTGTGTGCACCATTCAGGTGGGATGGGAGAGCAGAATCCTGCTTCAGCACCAGGGTCTACTTCAGTGGTCAGTGGCGTTCACATATTCCCTCTGTTCTTCCCTACCATCCAAGTCCTCTAAGTCAACTTGAGAAAATCCATAAAAAACTGTATCCCCCAAATTTCCATTCCATTGCCATCATCCTGTCCCCAACTCTTTCCTCGCTTGCTCACCTCCCTCTTTCAGGAAAGGAGAATTGTGGGGTCTATTCGTCTAGGAGCTGAGGGGTGGTGCTGAGGCTTGCCCTGCTCCTAAGGCTGATCTCAGTGGAGGATGTCATGCGGGAGACCAGCTCCTTGTGCTGAGGCAGTGGACGTGTCCAGAGCATTGCCCACAGCGTGGCCACCTTCGGCCAGGACAGGGCAGAGGCTGCCACTTACTTTAAGCTGCTTCGTCTTCTCGCGCAGCGTGTGGCGGTATATCTGCAGCTGCTCCGCAGCCTCGGGCCCAGGCTGCCGGGCTAGGATGTGCTTTAGCTCCACGTACAGTTTCTCCTTTTCCTGGTAGAGAGCATAGCCACACGCAGAGATAAATAGGCCCATCCAGAAAATGAAAGTGCCTTTAGCAGCGTGGTCTGAATGGTTCTGGACCATCCTAAGTTACTTCACAGCTCCATGCTGATTACATTCACCGGTAGATTCCTTCAGTCGTGCACCAAACCAACCCTGATCAACGGATGTGCCCAGCATTTGGATACAAATAATCAGGCAGATGCGGAAGAGAAAGTCCCTCTCTACCTACATTTATGATCACATGACTGAAAGACAAGGGCAGTGTTGAAAGATGTCGACAAAGTGTTGTGACCAGTAAAAGCAGGGACTAACTTTGATTGGAGGAGTTGGGGGAGATTTCACAAAAATGTCACCTGAATTGTCCCTTGAAGGGAAAGAAAAGGAGAGCTTTTTAGGCTGAGGTTCAGTGCCGGAGCAGGGGAGTGGTGAATCCAGCCCAGCAGGTACACAGGACAGGCAGCGCAACAGTAGAGAGAAAAGGCTGGGCTCGTAGCTTGGGACCAGACTGTGTGTGTCACACCGAATACGATCTGGGACCACATCTTTTAGGCAACTGGGAGTCAAGGATGAGTCACACCTGGGTCTGTCTTCAGAGGACTAACTCCAGCAGGAAAGCAGAGAACAGGATTAGGAAACTGCTGAGGGCAACAGTATAAGCAGAAGATAAAGAAAGCTGAACCTAAGACAACTGGAAAGGAAGATAGGTACATAAGAAGACATTTCCAAGGCAGAATTGGTGGAATCTGATGAAGGATGAGATATGTGAAAGAAGGAACAGGAGTCAAGATGACTCCAAAGTCTCTAACGTGGACATACGGAGCTGGGGGGTGATGGTCATGGAGGCAGTGTGGCTAGGAGAGAAGATGGTGCGGACAGAAAGGAAAGGAAACTGTTACTGCACTCTCCTGAGAATCAGTGGGTTCAGGTTATGTTGAGCATGAGGCCCGGTAGTGATGTGACCCACGCACCAACCGAGCGTTCCTGACTCGCTAGCCAGGAACCCACCGAAAGGGTACCTGAGAGGACTGGGTGGGAGACTGGAAAAGAAAGAGACTAGAGACAAAAGCTGGGGGCAGGAGGTCCACCCAATGCTGATGGCAGAGAATGGCCTCGTTTATTGTTTGTATACAGCTTTTATAGCAAAAGTAACATTCCTTAGGTAGGGGGTTTTGGGACCTTGAGGGAGTAGCCCCCTCCTCCCAGGGAACAAATTCCTTGGAAGCAATCTTTCCAAAGCGAGATAAAACAAAGTATAGCAAGCAGAAACTGTTAACAGGATGGCCTTCCACTCTGTAGCTTTCAAGGCCATTGGGTGTTTCCTCCTCAGTGGCCAACCTTCCCATGCTGCTCACCTGGGCCTGAGAGCCTGTCAGCCTGCCAGCTCTCAGGCTTAACCCTTACTGCAGACCTCCGGCTCCCTACACTGTAGGATATCTAGAAGAGAGGTTGAACATGTGATCCCAGAGTTGAGAACTGAGGAACAAGTTGGAGCTAAATGTGGGTCATGGGTAGAGGCCTGAGAGTGATGGCTTATAGGATGAACCTGGACAACCAGGCTTGGGGGAGAGCCAGCATATAGGGGTAGGTAAGTAAGAAAGATCCAGAGAAAGACAATAAGGGAGAGTAATTGAATGTCCCCCAAACCAAGAAAAGGCGGACATCCTAAAAAGGGAGGAGTGATTTGGGTGGTCGGTGACATCAAGTGGGGTAAAGAGAAGAAAACAGGAGAGGGCCCTTGGTGTGGACTATCAGGACAGCACCACTGGCCTTGTCAGAAAGGTTGCAGTAACATTTGGGGAGCAAAAGTCACACAGGTTGAAGAAAAAATCAGAAGTAGGAAGTACAGGAAATGACTCTTTTAAGAAACATGACGTAGGATGAAAAGAGATCTAGAAATGATTTGAGGGAATAGGTAGAAATCCAGAAAAACTAGGATACATGAATTTGTAGAACTAAAAGAAAGGACTTCCTCGGAACCCAAAGCAAATCACAATTAGGTAACAATTTAACCAATAAACAATATAGAATTCCCATTCATACCCAGAAGTTGAATTCTTTGCCACATGTTTTTGGATCCTTGAACTATTAATAAAGATATTACATATAAGCAAAGATTTCTAAAGCATTCAAATCCTCGATTCTCATTCCTCCAAATGGTATTAATTTGAACAAACATTGATAAAAAGTAGTATGTCTACTTATTTGTCTCTGTACTTATTATTTCCTTATCGTATTTAAAGGAAAAAATATAAGTAAAAGCCCTCTCATTAAATGAATCATCCTGTCAAATAGAAACTAATTTTTACCTAGAGCTAAGTATTCTTAGCATTGTCATCAAATGATCTGTTTTTGCCAAAGCACATAAAAGTCATTTTAAAAAATAGGTAAAAGAAAATTCATTAACTAGTCATTGTTACCATTTGTCTCAGTTTTTCCTTTTCCCTGGCCAAATCATAAAAACTTAATTATAAATAGCATGGCTCTATTTTCAAGAGTATATGTAACTTGAAAATTAGTTGGATGGAATAAACTTCTGGAGAAACACATATCACCTAATACCCACCATTTTAAAAATAACTCCAGAAATGGCAAAGAAATCCAAAAGCCCACACAAAAGAAGAACAAATTGAATTACAAAGCAGTGACTTTCCCTTGCCACACAGCACCTCCTGTCACACCTTACAATATAATCTTCCCAGGAAATGGATGTAGCAAGCAATGAGCAAGATATCAGGAGGTGAGTTTATTTTCTATAGCCACTTAACGCCTGCTCTGTTGGAAAAATAACACTTCTGACAAGGCTTCAAGATTCAATTTGGAGAGGGTAATAAGCAGTGGAGAAGCTCATGGAACTGTTTCGCCCATTTCTTTCAGCTCACCTCTCTATGTGCCAGAATATAGGGAGGCTAGAAAAGTAAAGAACCCCACAATGATGAGGAGGAACCAATCTGGTTTGGGATATAATAACGTCTTAAACTGAAAACGCCATCTTACTCCAACAACCTTCCAATGTTTCACGGGTGTAATTCTTTTCAATGACTCTTGGGAAGGAGGGAGGAAAGCGACATAAAAGAAAATCTGGAAGAAGCAAAAATTTGCTACCTCACCTCATAGGTGAGAACCCCAAGGTCAATGGGAATAAATGGTGTGTCCAAAGTCCCTTGAAAAGTCAGAAACCTCATCATGATAGACTTGAGACTCACTTTTCCATGCAACACCTCCCCCAGGGCTTGAAAACATGCTATAACCCTGAAAGAATCCGGATCAAATTGAGCTACATAAAAGGCTCCACGATAACATCAGTCCAAAGCGGAGCCAGGTTCAAAGCCAGGTTAGAGGGTTTTAGCGGGAAGAGCACGACTCAGCTCCCACCTCGCCTGACCTGCACCGTCTGAATGAGCCCTGCCCATGTCCTCTCATAGGATGTGCAAACTTCATGTGCAGAGTAAACAGCCTCCCCACTTATTCTGTCATCTATAACTTCCGTGTGTGTGTGTGTGTGTGTGTGTGTGTGTGTGTCTAGAAAATGAATTAAAATGGATTTATTCTAAAAGATAACAGAGTGACTGAACAGCAAGGATCCACAAGTGTTGATGAGAAGTGAGGAAACTCGGTGCATTAGCATTAAACCTGCCTGAGTATTTAAAGTCAAGGAGTTCTGAGAACCAAATAACCCAGGACAAGTGACGCATGTGTGCTCACGGTGGGTGGGAAGAATACCAAATGAAACTCCAGGGACTAAGGCAGCGGGAGGCACGAAGAGCAGAGGGGAGGGAAATGGGAGGCTCGCGGTTGAAACGCACTGTTGGGCTCCAGCGCGCGCGACTTTCAGTCTATGCTTGCAACCGAAAACCCGGTAAACCAAAGCGAAGCCTGGTCAGCATTAACATTCTAGCTGTGTGTATCATACAGATTTGTATTTGGGGAGAACGTGCTAGTAATTTAGATAAATATGGAGTGTTTGATGTATTGATGGTCTTAAGTACGACTGTTTTCCAATTTATTTCTCTCCTAACCCTCTGTAAGGGCCAACCAAGCTCTTCAAACATTGTGCAATGGTGTGTATAATAACCCCATTTAGAGACAAAGCATGCAATTCTATTATAAAGAGAATCTATCTTATGCAACAGAGACTCATTTGCTGTCCAATGTATATTGTCTCCATAAGCCAGCAGTGGCATAACCAGCTGCCTGGTGATACATATCCTGTCCTTCTTCATTAAGCCGCCTCCATTCCTTTTTAAATCAAGTCAGTTAATTTGTCACTGGGTTAGAAGCACCATATGTCAATGAAATATCATAAGAAAATCATAAATAGTTTAATATTTCCCCACCCACAAAAGATTGCATCTTCAGGTTAGCATTTCTTTATTCAGAGTTTGTTCATGAGGCACATTCATATTACTTTGTAGCATGCCTCACTCTTTAAATTATTTTATGAACAGCTATACTGGAAAAAAAGGCTAGACTATTGATGCCAAGAGACTAGCTTTCTCTTTGGCTGAGCATTTCTTGCAAGCATTAACCATACCATGTCCATTCTTGAAATGATGCTCTCTTCTTAGACACCCCAGTCTCTCAGTTGGATAGACTGTCAGACATGGTTATGGATTCTTTTGTTACAAGGGTCTCTGCCAATTTATGCTGGATAACAGCACGGTTCATTGTCAATATTGGCTGAGTACAGTTGTATGAAATTAATTACAGTATTCAGTTCAAATAATGCTGTCATTACATGGTGACAGTCTCTGATCCCATATTAGAAACTCAGATATGGAATCACTCAGACTTCAGATGTTTGTATTTTATCTGACAATAAATTAAAAGTCTACATTCTGAACAGTATATGCAAATAAGAGTCAATGTTATTCTGGGTATAATTCAGAGGAAGAAATTGAGTTGCTCACAAGAACTCCTTTCCACATTGAGCTACAATTTTATATTCGCTGTCTGTTTATATTCTCTGTCTTTTGCTTTGCACCTTCTCC